CACACACACACACAGTGTTATTCTGTTCCTCTTTTATGGTTCACTGGGACTGTTTTGTTAAGGAGGGAGGGAGACATGACGGTTGAGACAGGACACAGTTCCAGTCTAACTGGTCTTCATAGGCAGTGCCAAAACTGGCACTGCCTATGAAGAAATAAAAAATACATCTGGTGCCTGTTACAGTTTGAAATTTAGGTTTTACATTAAAAATGTCCATTCCCATATTTGGATGGATGATGGAACTCAATAGCATCTTTCTTTACATCCTCTGTGACTGGTAAATACCCATGTGTTTCTAACTCCATGCTGCCAGTTTGTTATTCAGGCCGTCACATCACAACATTTGCAATGTAAATGAAAAATGTACATTACATTAATCAGGTTTATTTCCTTACACTATGAAAAGCTCCCTCCCTCCAGAGCCACAGAGGGCTGTTTCCTGTTGAATAGCACTACCTGTGATGAGTACACAGACCTTTATGTGTAAAGTCATTAACCACAATAAAGTTTTCATTAATGAACTGAGCTGAACATAGTATGGTCTATGTTCATGCCTGAGATAGCAAGTCCTAAGCTAAAGTCGGGGTTAGGGTGTGTCAGATTTGTGCCAGTGTGAAAGCCTGGAGATAGGAACAATGTTTTTACCCATGGGCTGAGTGCAGTGTTAAAAGTCCTTTCCACTCAAACACACAGACCTAATCCTCTGTTCCGCTCTTTGTTCTCTGTACTGTATCTCTTTCTGTTCACACACTGCAACACTGTTGTGGTGTTTCTACCTATTTCTCTCTATCGTTCTCATTCTTGTTTCCCTTTATTCTATCATGTCTGCCAAGATGCTATCGTCATCCTCAAGTCATCTTCCACGTCCACTTTGATATTCTTGCCCCCCAGCTGATTCATAGTCTTTGGAGAGATGCCCTTTGGCTCGCAAACCTTCACTGCAAACATGTCCAGGCTCAGCACTCTCAGTTGTTGCCAAACTGACTGAAGGTTGATCTTTTAATAGAAACTGGATGCTTCAATTGGACTTGTTGGACAACATACCAGAAAACAATCTGTAATTCTGACTCAAAATTA